AAGCGCTGGCAGCAGCGGCGGCCGCTTGCAGGAATCTTCCTGCAAAAGGGCTCTTACTGTACATATAAAGAGCTTGCTATGTGCCAGGTACTAGGATAGGCTGGGAATTAGAGATAAATAGGATGAGCTCCCTGCACTTTGTGAAAGTGTGTGTTATTAACATTAACTGGTGTTCATTTTTCTCTCCAATAGGCTGTGAGTAAATATCCCCAACCTCTTAAGCATTGTCACTTCATTTCTATGGAGTCACTAAATGAGTGATCCATATGAACCAATCATTCCCAGGAGAGAAGCCAGAGGAGGAAGTGGTGGTGCAGGTTGAGTGTTGTTCCTTTACTTATCAAAAATGCTTACCAAATGTTTCTCTAAAACATATTGGCAGAAGACAAGCTTCTAATTTTAGTGCTTCTGATTTTGAACAGGTTGGAGAAATAATTCTTCCAACCTGTAAAAAAAAAAAAAAAAAAAAAATACTCAGTCAGAATTCAAATCTCACTTTCACGGGCGTGAAATTTATCATGGGACTCTTTAACTTCTACTTGGAGAAACTCTCCCAGCCACTTGGAGAAAATGTACATTCTGTTGTGAGCTCGGCCCAGCATCCCTATTTGTTGTTTTTCCTTCTTGTCAAAGTAGATTTTCCCACCCAGACAACTTTCCCCTGAGTTAATGTGTTCTTAGTTCAAAGAAATCAGCTTTTCTCTGTAAACTCATGTAATCTCAGCATAATAACTGACTCACTTTTTATTAGGATGAGTTCAATATTTTTAAGACATACACACTACAAATCTCCATATAGTAACCCAAGGTTGTGTGCTTTTTTTATTTCCATTGCCAACCAATTTCCCCTCAGTTTGTACCTTTGATAATTTTCTGGTTCTTTTAAATACCCTTTTAGGTATTACTTCAATACCAATATAACCATATAATTGGGTGTTTATTGACATCAAGCTAGAATAGGAAAGGAAAGTTTGCATCAGCAAAATCTTCAAGGCAATTGGCTTACAAATGGGACATATCCCATTATGCCAAAAAGACAAATAGTGTGTGTGTGGGGGGGGGGGGGGGGGGATTGTGTTCTCACTCTGCATGGAAATATATATATATATATATATATTAAAATAAGTAAAATGTTTACATTAAAAGTAAAATTATTCTTTTAATAATAAATGACAGGCTAATAGTAAGTATCTGTTTTAAGCTTCCGCTGTATCTCCTATGCTATTAAAATGTCAGCTGCACTAAAGCTTTATTTTACAAAGAGAAGCTATGTGGTCCTGTCATCGATCACTGATTCCCAATGAAGTGCAGGACCTCAGGAACATCGGTTCTGTGACGTCTTTCTCGGGTGGTCATGGGACTGCATGTGAAATGCAAGGCAGGCTGCCATCGCGTTTCACCAAGACCAGAGAAGAGCATCAACTTCTCCGGAGTTCTTCCCAGGCTTGCCCATTCAGAAGCTGCTTGGCCTGCAACGTTAGGGACAACCTATGTCTTTCCTCCGCCATATTCTCTGGGCCAACAGCCAACACCCCACATGTTGGGTTTTCCCATTTCACTCCTGGAGGCTTTGCACGGACTGACTCAGTTTGGGACAATAGGCTGCTTTCCTGCCCATTTGCACACGACTCCTGAACGCTTCCTGTTATCCATCCTCATGAGCTTGACGGGGTTTTCACTGACTGTTCCCGAGTCAAAAGGTCCTGATGAAGGACCATTTCTAATGAGAGTAGTTCCTACATTTCCCCACTGGGGATGGAGCCAGCTTCTCTCTGCTTCTCGCTCCTTTATTTAATGCCAATTCTTCTTGCACACAAAAGTAGGGACCTTGATCCCAAGATGACAGGAAAGAGTAGCCTTTGCTATGGAATCTTGTCAATGACCTTTAGGAAATCTCCCTCTCCCCTCCCAAACCCTTGCCTTCAGTCTGTTACATCTACTGAAAATGTTCAAAAAGGGAAGGAAGGATCCATCTGTATGTAAGTCTTTGGTGTCCCCAATCACCATTGTGGAGTCAGTCGTTTCCACTCACTCCTCCAACTCATTAAAGCCGTGGTCGGCAAACTGCGTTTCACAAGCCACATGCGCCTCTTTGGCCCCTTGAGTGTGGCTCTTCCACAAAATACCACGGCCTGGGCGAGTCTATTTTGAAGAAGTGGCATTAGAAGAAGTTTAAGTTTAAAAAATTTGGCTCTCAAAACAAATTTCAATCCTTGTACTGTTGATACTTGGCTCTGTTGACTAATGAGTTCGCCGACCACTGCCTTAGAAGGTTACCAGTGGTCTGAACGCAGCCACCTCTGAGTCCTTCTTCCTGGCAGGGGTCACATTTGCAATCTGGCACAGCAGCTTGCATAACAATACATTCCAGTGGGCTAATTTCACCCTTGAGTTCCTGCAGTACTCTCATTGAGCTGCCCTCCACTTGGTGATTTATCTAGATTTATTGTATCAATGTGGTAGAATAGCTCTGGTACAACCACTGTTGGGTTTAATAGCATTAAACTTGCATTTCCAGGAACAGTATAGGACTGGCAATCTCCCTATATCTTCTTCATTAAAAGCTAAGGTTTAAGAAATCCCTCGTGAGCTCTCATTTCATCCTTTGGAGATTGCTGTTCCAACATCATCTGTGGTCTATTCTCTTTCTTGAGTTAAATTGTTCGCTCCGAATCACTGAAAGAAACTCATGTTGCTCTTAAAGTCTCACTTACAATGCTGTTCAATTTCTTTGCATTTTGAAGATGACTTTATTACTCCTATCCTTCCTCACTGTGTAGACTTTCCTGTTCTCATTATTTGAGTCATGTTTCAGTTTAGGAAAATAATTATTTCATAAAATAAAAAATTTTATATTTCTAGTTATTCATGCAATTGGGAATGCAGGCGACATGGAATAATTTTTAATGGGGTGGTTTTTTACAAAATGATTGCATTTTTATTATAGCTGCCTGCTCTAAAAGTAGTAAACATTCAAAAGTAGTGGCCATTCAAAATTCTACCAGCACCAATTATAATGATTAATAGTCATTAATTAATATAAGAAACTTATTGTTCAGTGACTCTGTGTGAGACAAAGTGCAAGACACTGAAATTCACCCAACTCAGAAGGCAGTCCTGCCCCCACGGTCTCTCAGTGTGGAGTTGAGTCACTTGCATACATGCAAATAAACAAGTCAAGGTCGCAAGGAGTAGGTCCCACATAACAGGAAAAGTGCAGGGGATAGCCGTTGCTTCCACATCCAGGAGGAGAGGAATAAAACTATTGTCAGAGCAGAGTGAATGAAGCTGGTGAGCTGGGTCATGATGAATGGGTGGGAGAGTCCTGGAAAGGGCGGAGGCCTTAAACGGGGCCTGTAGTATGCAGTGCAACAGAAATGGCAGCCAACAAGACTGGAGAAGACTGGAAAAGCTAAAACCAAATCCTTAGGCAAACAGAGCAAGAAGAGTTTTAAATAATGAAATAACATGGCTGACTTTGTGATAAGAGCCTTCAAACAGGATATTTAAGAGGTTATTACAGTGTTAAAGCAAAAGCTGCTGGAAGAAATGGCAGTGTGAATGGAAAGAAAAGAATGAGTTCAATAGACAGTGAAAAGATATATTTGAATCCCTTCAACATGTGTTCGGGTGTTAGTGAGTTTAGGAAGAGCAAGAAGTCAAGGCTGACCCCCATCCCAGGATTCACTGGGTAACTAGGAACACGGGTATTCTAACCATCAGAAGAACTGGAGAAGGAAGAGCAAGTTAGTAATAGGATTAGCTTGACTATTATGGGGAAGCTCTGTAAAGATGAGTTATATTTTGAACACACTTGGTTTGAAGTGGAGTATCCAAGAGAAGGTTCCCACTGAGTAAATGCGTAGTCTTGTGGTCAGGCTTAGAAATATAAATGTCACTAGCAGAGGGTTCAGTCAGTTTTGCATTCTGACTAGATGTTTTTCAGGCACTCTTGCTAAGACTGACAGCAACAACAATGAATAACAAATTATCTCATTCTGAAGTCTAGTAAGGAACAAAGACACAACTATTTATTATTCCTTATTTTCCTAATATGTCAGCTATAGGGATCTTATTCGTAGAAATGATTCATTCTATATACTATTCCCTTGTCAATACACACTTAACTTACCTTTCAACCACATTATTATTTTAAGTAACTTTTGGTCATTCTTTAGAGTAACAACGATCAAAGTAGTGAATTACTAATTCTGTATGATCCACTTTCTGATTCTAAGGACATAAGAATAAAGAGTTTATTCCAGCTAGAAAATCATTACCTGGGGTATTATACTTCTTACAGTATGCCCTTTGTATCACACTTTGTGAAGGGCAAGTTAGTTATACTTCATAAGTCAATGAAGATTTGGCAGTTGTGGTGTAATTTAGGTAGAAGGAGAACCAGTCAAACAGAGCTCTTACTTTTGTCCCTTTAAAACACCAGCTCACTTTGAAAAGTTGGTGGATCAATCTAAGTACAGTTGGCTTGTGGGGAAGGAATGTTCATTGTGTGTGTGGGGTGGGGGGAGGGGGGGAGGAGAGAGAATGTGTGATTAAAAAATCCTCATAGTTACCCTAACAAAAGTCAGGAATTCACTGACAGGGGGGGGAAAATAGGAAGCAGTGTTTAAATAAATTGCAGAAATTTTAGAATTGTCATTCATAAAACTATTTTGTGAAACTCATGTTCTGTGACTTTAATCCATACTTAAACAGTACATACCCTTCTGGCTGGCTAACAGTCCATGCTTTGAACAGTTGCCATATACAAAGAATAACTTGAAGAGTCTGCTGGCTCTTGAAAGAAGAAAACATTTAGTAGACAGTTTTTTGGAAATGTGTGTTGATTTGTATTCATAACCTTTGCTAAAATGGATTGTTCACATAAGGCATCAACTGTCCTTTGAGTTCTATAGAACAGAAAATGTCAAACCTTGTTACTGGAAGTTCTTCAAATGACATCTTTTTTTTTTCTTTTCTTTTCTATTATCATGAAACAGGGAAGGCCATGGCAAAATTTCAGTATTTGCTGTCAAAATGGCTTTAGCTACATTGTGTGGAGGGAAGATCATGGACAAATTAAGATGTAAGTTGCTCTTCGTGTTTCTCTTTGCTTCTCTCTCCCCACACCACAGAACTCTTCCTCAGTCCTGCTATGACTCCTGCTCACCTGTGACTTTCCTCATGCTGTGATTGTTGTTTGAAATATGTTCTTTTTTAAATTATATTTTTATTGATTTCAGAGAGGAAGGGGGAGAGAGAGAGAGAGAGAGAGAGAGAGAGAGAGAGAGAGAGAGAGAGATCAGTGATGAGAGAGAACCATTGATCAGCTGCCTCCTGCACAACCCACACTGGGGATTGAGCCCGCAATCCATGCATGTGCCCTAACCATGGAATCAAACAGTGACCTCCTAATTCATAGGTCACTTATTTTCCTAATATGTCAGCTATAGGGTGCTCAATCACTGAGCCGCACTGGCCAGGCTGAAATATGACCTTTATTGATCTTCATTGATCTTTATATTTTGTCATAGAAATATTTTTGTATTAGATAAATATTAATAAAAGGCATGTGTTCCTTCTATTTACAGTTATTATTATTGATAACTTGTTGAGTGTTACCAACTAGACTTTGTGATAATAAAGTATGATTTTTTTTTTTAAGTTTATTGTACTGCCCTACAGACAAGTCCATCATTATAAGGACTTGGAGGACCGCCTTCCTTTTTTTAGATAATCCAAAAGCCAAAGCTCCCGGTATGTTTCTTCATTCTCAGCCAGTGCTTTTCAAATCACTCCAACCGTGCCAAAGTAAACATTGCCAGAGCAGGGGGCATGGTAATTGCGTAGAGACACTGTAGACTGAGAGTTAACCAGATGCCAGTCAAAGCATGATAGCCACAGTACGTGGAGTGATTATGGGGCTTTTATGTACCTTTGTCACTAATATGTAGAGTTTTAAACCGACAGAACAGTGGGGGTGTTTTGGTTGGTTGATTTGTTGTAGGTAAAGAAGCTGAGACTCAGAGAGTTAAAGTAAATCACATACTTTAAAAGTGAAATGGCAGCAGATGTGCAGCCTGACTATTTTCCCTATACCAGTGGGATGTATAGAATTGCCTGGAATGTTTTTTAAAACATGGATTTCCGGTCCCACTCCCAGAATTCCTGATTCAGTGAGCCTAGGGTGGATGTGTGGGGGCAAGAATTTTCATATATAGCCGGTTTAAAATGAGGGACATGCTGCCACTGAAAAGAAAAAACGAACCCTCTCCCTTGCACTAAATACCATGAGTTTACGTCACAACGTTGAGTAAGAGAACGCTGTGATTGGAACTAGGAGGCCCAGGTCATAAGCCCATCTGTGTGACTACTGCTTTATTGAGTTGCCTGGTGGAAGTTGCTTCACTTCTTTAGTCCTCAGCTTCCTGTCTGCCCTAAATTTGTGGGGGGTTAGATACCATGGGCTCCCTCCTGGCTGCATCATCTGTGACTCACAGCCTCTTCTGAATGTGGCCTCTTGCTCCTGGAAGCACCCGGAGGGGCTGAAGGAAGACACAGAAATGAGTCCTTCGTTCCTTTGAAATTCCCCCACACTTTTTCCAAGGCAGGGAGGGTCATGTCATTGCGTCAGCAGATAAGTGGAAGGTCCATGACCTCACACTCCCCTCACTTCCAGAACCCTCCTTTCGTGGAATGTCCAAATGGAGGCCGCATCCAGAGAAGCCCTCAGAGGCAGGCATTACAAAGGCCAGTTTAGTTCTCTTTAGTTAGCCTGAAAGATGAAGTAAATTCAAAACTATCTGTGCCAAGGCTTGACTGAGGGATAATAACCCAATTAGAAGGTGGCAGAACCAATGTTGTTGTTGTTTGTTTAAAAAACAGTGTCCGTGTGATTAGACACTGTGGGTCCCCTCTTGGGAAGAGACAGAAAAAAACCTGGGTTCCTTTGGGATGTCCCCCACTTGTTCGAAGGCAGAGCTGTGCCATCCCAGAGGCATTTCCTCTGGGTGAGCAGTGGGGAGGATGGTTAGCACAGGAGCCAGAACTGCGGGGGTCTTGCTGGCTGACCTCAGGTCACCGTTGGCCACTCATGCTGAGGTCATCAGACACATGGGTGTTTTTCCGACTAACCATTTCCAAAGACTTACTCAATGCCATGCCAACAGGCACCTGGGTGAAAGGGTTACATGTTAAAGTAAGTTTGAGGAAAGCTGGAGAGAGTGGTTTTTTGCAGTTCGGCACTCACAGCCCTTCATTAACTGGGTTGGTCCTGGATCATCAAGGACCCTGGTGTTTTTCATGTTTCAAATCAGCCTCTCCTCGGTGGCTCCTCGGGGACAAGTGGGTATGGCAGGAGTAATTGGCTACAAATAAATTAGGAATTGTGAAAAGCCAAACAAGTAGAAAACCCACAGATGATGTAAAGCTGTTTTGAAAACAGCTTTTACATGCATCCGAAAGGACAGCCAGCCCAGGTTGCGGCACAGTTTCCAATGCTCAGGGCCACCAGGAACCGGCCAACAATGCAGGGTATGCACTGTGCACCTGCAGGCAGCCCAGAGTGCGGGCACCCTCTGCAGTCCTAGGATTCAGCAACCTAAACATACTGACCTGATACAGTCCCCCTGTCAAATTGGTTTTGCTCTGATTATAGCCTGTTGTTTTGTTTGTTTGTTTGTTTGTTCTCTGGCCTGTTGTTTTAGTGAGATGGAGCGCTTATTTGTATTTCTGCTCGGGGCTCCTAAAGACCTAAAGACCTTATGGGATTCTGAACCCAATGCTGTGAGCCTGACATGCCAAGTGCTGATCTAGAGCTTCCAGAAGGCTTGTTTTGTTTTCTTGAAAAGACCAGTATTATTAATATGTCAAGCACCAGGCACTGTGTATTTGTTGAGCTTCTATTGCTGAACTGGTTGTTCTGCCCCCCCCCCCCCCCCCCCCCCCCAATGCCTATCCAAGGTCACTAGCCTGCCTTGAATTCTTCAAGTGTCTCCCCAGCATCTTCTAGACTCAGTCTGCACTCCCTCGTGGAGCTTTGGAGGCTCTCCCTGTCTCCCCCTCACCTCCTCCCAGGCGCCATGTGGCTCCTGACACAGTGAGCTACTTGCCGATGGTTGAGTGCCTCATGCCTGAGCACACTCCTCCGCGTCCTGACCCGGCTTCCTAAGCCTGGTGACCCCCTAATTGTCCTCTACGCCGGCCTAGTGCTCGCCTCTGTGGGGAAACCTTCCCTGACCCACTCCGCCCTCTGGGAGCCCCCTCTCTGAGTCCCGCACACCTACTATTCCCACCTTCACACCACCATGCTCTCTCTTTTTCCCTCCCTCCCCCTTCCACTCTCTCTAGAAAATCAATAGGAAAAAAAAACCCTCAAGTGAGGATTAACAAAAAAAAGTTAGTGACATAAAAAACACACACACAATCAGCATATTTCTCACATACACAAAATTGTCTGCCTTGAGTTATATATGAGTTAATAATTGACCAAAATAACAATGTTATATGCTCTGTCTTATCAAAATATGCTAATCTTGTCCTAATTACTAATTAAAGCTATATGCCAGAATCATCTACAAAAAAGGCACCAAAGAAAACGCCCTGCCAGAAATATTTCAGCATTAAAAAAAAATAGATTTTCTATTATTCTTTCATACACATCATTTATTGTGCCACATTTGTGTTATTTGAAACAGATACTTTGAACTGAAACGGTGGGGAATGTTTTTGTGAAGAATAAGTACCTTCGCTTCTTCTCCCATCAGATATTTTCTCAATGATCTCTGACTCCAGCGGGGTGATGGTTTATGGGCGCTATGACCAGTTCCTGCGGGAAGTCCTCAAACTGCCCACGGCGGTGTTTGAAGGGCCCTCGTTCGGCTACACGGAGCAGTCAGCCAGGTCCTGCTTCTCTCAGCAGGTAGGAAAGAACGTGTGTCAGGAAGTATCTTCCGAACAGTAGCTGCTCTCCTCCTGTGTGTCACTCCAGGCAGCGCTCAGACAAGTGATAACCGGTAGCCTGCCTTCCAGCCTCTGACAAATGGCCTGTGAATCGGGCACTAAACTTCACATACCTGCATCCTAGTGACAGGTGATGTCTACTGACCACCAGCCAGGCACCATGCTAAGCTGTTTACTTACGTTGTCGAATATAATCTTACAACAAGCCTACAGTCTCCGGATCATTATCATTGCCCTATCAAAAGGGCTGAAATGTCCCTCTGCCTTATATGAAGCACATATCTGACGCACCACCTGGTTTCACCAATGTTTGTCAAAGAAGACGAGAAAGTATGGCCTTTGCCATATCGCTGTGTGGGAGGCCCAAAAGATGAGAGACTCGGCTACCTGAATCTTCCAGGACACGGGACATTGAGGGCTCTGAGGGAGTTTTTACATGAGGTTGCTACCTGTTAGCCTGGGGAGCCGCTTGGTGAGCACATGCAGGAGATGGGTGTGGCACTGTGGCAGGTGCCATGACCCACAACTGGGTGGCATCTGATGGAAATGTCCCTCACCTGGGAAAGCAGTGCTCCCAGAATGGTTTTTCTCTGTGTGAGCATCTTGCCCCGGCCTCAGTGGAGATCATTCAGTTGTGTGTATACGTGTAAAACACACTCTGTGTTTAAAGTTCTGCTGAACTTAGTCTCAAGTTCTGTTTCTTCAGACGTTAGAGGCTCCTTGAACGTCCCGTTCCATCCCAAACAAGAGCTGCAGAGCACCTGAATTAAGCGTATTCTCTGTTCACAATTACTGTGTTGTGGTTTCTTACTGTGTTTTGCTTTTTATGCAGAAAAAGGTCACGTTAAACGGTTTCTTGGATACACTCATGTCAGATCCTCCCCCGCAGTGTCTGGTCTGGCTGCCCCTTCTGCATCGACTGGCGAATGTAGAGAATGGTGAGTCTTCATTGCTGAGCGCAGGCAGGCTTTTTGACCATTGAAATTAGCCGATCAACCCTATGGTTATTAAGGTCATGGTTTTAGGGAGATGGATTTTGTTGTTCCAAGCTTTGTTTAGGATGCAACTAACCGGTCTCCCTGATCTGTAACAAGGCCCTAGGGGTGCACGGCCAAGTTAAGACAGTCAGTGCAAAAAGCTCATGTCATCTCCCTGTGTACCCCGCAGTTACAGGTCAGATGTGGCTTAAAGATTTCTCCGGGGAGGGGGGGGGGGGCTGAGAGAGAAGATTTCTCCGATACAACAGAGAAATCTCAGTAATGAATGTTATTGTATCTTTTCTATTATTTGTTTTAGGTCTGGATTTCCAATATTGGTTTATCTTGGCATTGACTATGTCTTCCTAGGCACTGGGCCAGGAACAGGTGGAAGAGAAGGGGAAAAATTGGATGAGAGAAACTTATTCATCTCTTGTCATGTGCTCTGAATTATATTTCAGTGGTTGTAGTTAGTATGTCAAAGACAAAAGCCGGGCAGACTTCTGAAATGTACTTTTTTACAAGGGCAAGTTTTCTAGGACAGTGGCTGGCAAATTGCAGCTCACGAGCTGTGGTTTGCTCCTCTGTTGGCTAATGAGTTTGCCGACCACTGCCTTAGGGAAAAAACATTTTAATAATGTACTAATATCTTTAACCTGAAGTCAAAACTTCTGGGTAAGAGTAATGCCTTGTGCAGTGTTCAGCAAACTCATCAGTCAACAGAGCTGCAAACCACAGTTTGCCAACCACTGTTCTAGGGTAAAAGGAGTAAATATTGATACATCCAAGTTTAAATGGAACCACAGTTCAGAAGGCGATTTAAAGACATTTAAACATGGAGCAATTCAGTGCCACCTTCTCTAATCTTTAGATGTTCTTATTTGTTTCTTGATTTAAGTCTGAGATTTCTCCAGACTTAAATAGAAAGTCATTTATCCCATATATCTACCTAGAATCTTAACTCCTACACATTTCTTTAATATACATTGGAGGTAAAGTTAGCTTAAGTTTATGTTCCCATTCAGAACGTCTAGCATCTGCCTTATTATCTCTCTTAGTTAAAAGTTATAAATGTATCCTGCTTTGCTCATGGAGAAAATTTTTAAAAATGAATTAAGTAGGTGCTCTGTAATCACTACCAAGCATAGGTTTATTTTTGTATGTTTCTTACTCATCCGCAGAAGCAAAGAGCAATCAAGGTCAGATCATGCAACCTGAGTCCATGCTACTGTTCACATTTGAGAGCTAGTCACCTTCCGTCACGAGGCTGTAATTTCACCCTGAAGCTCAGTACTTCCTGTTGCAGGAAATGGGTTTTGCAGGCCTGTCCCCAAGAGCAGTTGTCTGTAATCCAGGGCTCACCCTGCTTTTCCCAGGAGCCAGAAAAAGGAAGACTGATGCTTAGTCAGAGGCAGTCCCTCCAGAGCTGGTTATGCCTTTGTGGTTACAACTGGTTTTTTATCTTCATTTATTTCCATGTACATGCTTTTCCCTGGCTGGTTAGCCAGAGAATAATGTGGCCAAAGGCAAGAATTGTTGTTGTTTCCAATCTTTAGCTCATAGTGTAGAGATAGTTACTTGGATTTTATCATTTGTTAGCTTCCAATGTCAACTATTGAATATTTTACCTTACCTGCGTCGTGATTCCAGTTTTCTGCCAAAGACAGTCGTGTCTCCTGAGCTGTCTGAACTGGACCTGTCTTTAGATCATTTACTTGTCTCCTTGGGCCCTGCCCATCTGCCTATTTGGAAAGAAAACAAATCTGTTTGTTAGATGGAGGCAATATCACTCATTAAATAAGCCCTTTAACTGCTTCATTTTTAAAAAATAACTTAATTCTCTCATCCAGTTTTCCTGCTCTTTCTCCATTTTCGTTTCTTTTTTCTCCCTCTCCTTCCTCATGTCTCCCTTTCTGCTCTCTCCCTGTTGGATGGTCAGCCATGTTCATCGATTGTGCTGAGTTTCCCAGTGACTATGCTGGCCTCCTGGAGACAGAGAGCAGTCTGGGGGTGGGGGTTGGGGGGAGGAGGGAGAAACGGGCCAGTATGAGTCATTTATATTATTGTAGTATAAAACAATGGTCGGCAAACCGTGGCTCGCGAGCCACATGCGGCTCGCAAGCCATGGTTTGCTGCTCTGTTGACTAATGAATTTGCCAACCACTGTCATATACTACCCTTTACCTCTTTGAACACAATATGCCACAACTGCCTAATCCTCACAGCTTCCAACTACATGGTAAAGTTTTATCTAGCAGTGGTTGGCAAACTCATTAGTCAACAGAGCAGTAAATCACGGCTCTCGAGCTGCATGTGGCTCGGGAGCCACAGTTTGCCGACGACTGGTGTAAGAGATGGGAATAGAAAGAGCAAGTGGCATTACAGAAACTTGTTGTTAAAATAACACCCATCCTCCCCCTCCTTTCATTTCTTCCACCTCCACACACGCGCCTGGAAAGGGCAGTGAGGTACCTGGGATGAACACAATGCTTCTCTCAGCTCAACCCGACTGAGAAACGCCACCCCGTCAGGCCGTGTTTGTCCTTGTCCTGGCTTGCACTTGGGTTTTCTTATTTTCTCTTCCTTTGCTGCCTCCGCAGTCTTCCACCCAGTGGAGTGTTCCTTCTGCCACAGCGAGAGCATGATGGGATTCCGCTACCGATGCCAACAGTGTCACAACTACCAGCTCTGCCAGGACTGCTTCTGGAGGGGACATGCTGGGGGTTCCCATAGCAACCAGCACCAAATGAAAGAGTACACGTCATGGGTAAGGCAAGGGCCACGCAATGCTTAAAGTCGGATATGTGCATGCGACCCAAGATGCAAGGGAATGTCAAGGAGGGTGACAGAAGTCAGGAGCACACTTACCCTGCAGTCAACATTCCTTCTTCCCCTTACCTCCTAACCCACCCATCCTCCCGGGATCTCTGTCAGAGTGTATCTGAGCCCAGTGTAGCTGCCTGAGACTTAAACTATAGGAAGACTCAAATTCCTTTACTTCTGGAAATGTAGTTCACTCAGAACTGATTTAGCTAACAACCAAATAGCAAGCACCCTCTGGAAGGTTCTTTTCCACCTTTGATAGGTTTTTGTTTTGGTTTGCCACTTTTTGTGTTTTGTGAGAATTGCTTGAAAATGGTTGCTAGTTTCTTTTGTCTTAGATTCTGGAGTTCTCTTAAGTCAGTGGCCAGCAAACCATGGCTCGCGAGCCACATGCGGCTCTTTGGCCCTACAAAATACCACGGCCTGGGCGAGACTATTTTGAAGAAGTGGCATTAGAAGAAGTTTAAGTTTAAAAAATTGGCTCTCAAAAGAAATTTCAATCATTGTGCAGTTGATATTTGGCTGTGTTGACTAATGAGTTTGCCAACCACTGTCTTAGGTGCACAACTGGAAAGTAGAGGGAAGACGTGTGAGCATGTGGGCTTAATGATGCTGTGCCATGTTCCTTTTGGGGAAGAGGGGGTCCTGTGGCTTCATTAGAAAATCATCTTTGGTGAATAGTGCAGGTGAGCGGCTTGCTGCAGGCGACCCGGCAGCGCCTGTCCCTGTGCTGGATGTTTCCTCGGGGCACATGCCCCTGGGTCTGCTCCAATGATGGGTGGTGTTCCCTGTGCTCCATGGGACAGACACACCCTCAGCCCTGCCCACTCCTCTAGAAGTAGTTCTCCCACAAGAAAATGCAAACTTTTTATGAGTTTTTCCCTATATTTTTATGTGTTTCAATTCAACAGATAGTCTTTACTTAAAGAGTAACTTACTTAAAAAAAAAAAAAAAAAAAAAAAAGGAAACTCTTCAGAGTATGCATTTTAAGTTGGAGTGTTCTTTCCAGGCGTTGTAATTGGGAACGCATGGTCAGTGTACGTATATCAACTGCCTATCACTTGTCAGGCTCTGAGTTCAAGGGACAGTTCTTCACTGAGACGTCACATGCTGAGGGCTTCATGCCAGCTCCCAGGCCCATCACTGGTGGTCACATCATGTGCTGAGGATTGATATACTGACCGCAATGATGAGATACATGTTAGTATAGAACATAGAAGAAAGCACTCTCTGTTTTCTTATTGTCAACATAGTACCAATTTTCAAATGTATTCTATCCCAAATTCTGGAGGGTCAGTGTTTGAAGACTAATCATTTTTAATTGTTCTTCTATGTAAATGCTAAAACCAGATAAGGGGCCTTTTTCTTAGGGACTGAAGATTCTAAAATTATTTAGGAGGGCAGTGTCTCTGCTCAAGTCAGATTAGACTCCTCAATAAGATGAAGGGGCCCCAATATTTATGCGGTGAAGAGCTTTATTGTGTTGCTTATGTAAGTGTCCTAAGAATCACATCTCCTAGCAAAAGCCAAAGTGGAACTTCTTGAACAGTGCTCCACTGCTCGGCTTTTCAAGAATGAGGATAAAAGCCACATATTACCACTTATGGGTTCTCTGTGTAAAAGGAAGTGAAGAAAATTATAAATGGTTACTCCTGGAAAGGAAGCATGTTTTATAAAGATTTATTATATGTGGTAAATTGTTTTTATAATTTTGACCATGGAATTTTAAGGTAGACATTCCACCAATCTAAATGAAAAACAGGTAGCTTGATACTCTGAAAAGAACATGAATTTTAAATTCTCAAGACTCAGATTGGCCCAGCCAGCATGGCTCAGTGGTTGAGCATGGACCAATGGACTAGGAGGTCATGGTTCGATTCCAGGTTGCGGACTTGATCCCCCTTGTGGGGCATACAGGAGGCAGCCAATCAATGGCCCTCTCATCATTGATGTTTCTCTCTCTCTCTCTCTCTCTCTCTCTCTCTCTCTCTCTCTCTCTCTCTCTCTTTCTCTCTTTTTCCCTTCCTCTCTGAAATCAATAAAAGAAATATATTAAAAATAAAAAAGACTCAAATTGAAATTCCACTTCTGCCTTTAGTTAGGTGGGTTCCTGCAAAGCCTTTTGCTCATCTCCCTCCTTCTTTCTGAGGGGGGAGCAGTTCTTCCTGAATCCGGTCCAATGCTGCTGCCTCCATGATTTAAGCACGTCATTGTTCCCCCTGCATTGGAGATAAAGGCCACAGCCCCTATGTGATCTGGTAGGACTTTAATGATCGGCCTCCTGCTTGCCTCTTCTTCCTCCACCTGGAATCACCTTCTCAGCCCCTGAGTTTCTGTAAGACCAACTCCTGCTGTCCACGAAGGCCCCGCTCAGGAGCCCGTTTCACTAAGCAGCAGTAGCCAGGTACCTTGCTGGCTTATTTACCGCTGAGCAGACTCCTAACTTAGAGTAGGTACTCAAAGAGGATTGCTTGACTGAGTGAATGAATGAATGAGTGAATGATTATCTATTGTGAGAGCAAATCATCTGACAAAAGTTACATAAACGTTAGTTGTTATCACCTCTATCTTTCTTCTTCTTTGCAGAAATCACCAGCTAAGAAGCTAACGAACGCGTTAAGCAAGTCCCTGAGCTGTGCTTCCAGCCGTGAGCCTTTGCACCCCATGTTCCCCGACCAGCCAGAGAAGCCGCTCAACCTGGCCCACATCGTGTGAGTGTCTCTGCCTCTACATTAAGAGACATCTTTCTTTTTTTATTTAAATTCTTTGCTGTTTGAAGTATTACATAAGCCTACTTTTCCCCCCATTGGCCTCTCCCCAGCAGCCCCCACCCTCCCCCCAGCACATGCCCTCACCTGTCCCCTGTCTGTGTCCATTATGCTTATGTGCATGCATACAAGCTCTTTGGTTGATCTCTTACTCCCTCACCCACCACCTTCCCTCTAGAGCAGTGTTTCCCAAAGTGTGGTACGCGTACCCTTAGGGGTACGGGAAGAGTTTGGTGTGGGTAGGCGTTGCACCGGAGTTTGGTGGGGATATGCACTGCACTGTGCTAAGCGGCGCCTAATTCTACGTTCTCATGAGTACGAGGGGTACTCAGCGTTACGAAAATTATAGAAGGGGTACACATATGTCAAAAGTTTGGGAAACACTGCTCTAGAGAAATCTTTCTTTACTGGCAGATCCATAGTAAAGCAGTTTCATATCAGTTGTCAGGAAATTTAATTTAAAATTTTTAATTTAAAAAAATAAGACTGAATGAGCTCTGGCTGGGTGGCTTGGCTGGGTGGAGTGTTGTCCCGTACACCAAAAGGTTGCATTTTAGTTCTCAGTCAGGGCACATGCCTAGGTTTCAGGTTCAATCCCAGGTCAGGATGCTGCCTTCCACTTCTATCACATCTCTCTACTTTCTCTCTCTCTCTCTCTCTCTCTCTCTCTCTCTCTCTCTCTCTCTCTCTCTCTCTCTCTCTCAAAATATCAGTAAATAATATCTTTGGGTGAGGATCGGAAAACAAAGACTGAATATAAAATCATTATAATGTTTGTAGTAGAGGAATACAGTACAAATGCCCAGCTGTACAAGTAGAGTGTGCAGCACTAATGCAATTCACCTAGAGGGGGGAAAAGCATTGTTATAAAATATGGATGTGAGTGGAGTTTGCACAATTGGAAGTTAACGATCAATGGAATTACCGGGGTAAGAAAATACTAAAGTACACTTTGCCTTAATGTCATATGTGCTGAGTCCAACATAAAAAAGCCCTCTGTTTTACTTTTCTGCAGAGCCAGTCATCTTCATGATGGCAGTAAACCTGGAGATTGTTGTTTTATCCCAAGCTGTATAACTTTGGAAGGATCATGTCCTGAGGTGGGAGAAGGGGAGGGGGAGGTGCAGTTAAAGAGAGGATTGGTGGAAAAATTCATCAGAACATCTAAAAAGAAGACGTTTCAAAAATATTTCTCCAAAGTATGTGTGAGCCTGGGCCAGGGCACAGGCTCCCCTCACCCCTCCTCCCATGCCCTGGAGTCTCTCGCAGCCCCATGGCCAAGACAGCAGGGGAGGGGCGGTTGTTTCCTTGGTGCTATTCCAGGCTCAGTTAGGAATGATGGAGTCACAGGTGCCTCGGGAATAGGTGGTTCCCTCCTCTGAATGGCCTTGACCTTTCGTTTGCAAGTTCAGCAGGACCCATGGCACTTCAGAGCCTATGGTTACGTGTTGACATCAGTTGGGCAGATCAGACCTGGGATATTAGGAAGTCACCAAGGCCAAGCTCATGTTCAGAACATGGCCCGCAAGCAGCACTGCTGTGAGCCCCAGGCCCTTAGAAAGCAGCAACTTGCCTCTGATGGACCCAAGCAAGAACCATGACCCTGAACGTGGGATAAATACTCCAGCGCTTTGTTCGGTTTGGTCCCAAGGGGCTTTGAGGGTTCACGGTTCTCAGCAATACAGTCTGGAGGCTCCTGTTGCCGGCCTGGACTAAGCATCCGAAAACTAATGTAAACTGGTTCTGTAGAAGGCGGTTAACTTACTCTTGGAAATTTGCTACTAAAAATAAACCAGGGGTAAACCAATGAGGAGAGTGCCAAAGCGCCAACCACTTTTCAGAAAAGGACCTCACGCAGGCTGCTCTTACTAAGGTCTCAGCTTTCCTTCCCAGAGCGAGACAATCCCGAACTTGTGAATGAATGAACGAAACCAAGTGGGGGGGGGTGGGTCTGTGCTCTGTGCTCTGCCACAGCCTCTTTCTACCAGACCCGCCAGAACTTTCCGCCCCAGCACACAATCCAGTCACAGCTGCCGGGTGTGAGGATAGAGAGTCTGGGGTGTGAATGGCCTGGCTCTAGGGACTTTGCAGTCCAACAGAAGTAGGATGCTGCCTTCCTCTTCAAGAAAGAATTGGGAGGTGAGGCAGTGTGGAATAAAATCAGTTTCACACTGCATGTCACCTACTGCCAGAATGTACCTAGTTGGCTCACGGTTGGTGTGTGTGTTAATTTTTTTTTAACTTTAATTTATAGTGGCAATATGATCTGATATATTATTAATTGAGCTAAGTGAGGGCTGTATCTACACAAGTTGGGTTCTAGGATTCCTTTAAAATACTACACAAAATATACCCTTTCTTCTGACAAAAGTTCTATAAGATTGAACCGAATTCTCAAAATAGCCCTTAAATGAAAAGGCTGATCTAGCCTCATTGTTAATACATTTTCCAGGGTGAATGTCTTCATTTGCAAATTGTGAAAAATATTTAATTGTTGTAATAACATGTAAGAAATTCTGGGTGCCGACTGTTCAGTCTTTGTTAGAACAGAATTATTTTCTATTTTTGGCCTTAGAGATTTTTCTCTCCCTATTTGTTATTCAAATGTTAATGTCCTGAACAGACATCCAGATCCTCTTTTTATTTATTTATGTTTTAGGGTGGGGATACCTAAGACTTCTAATTTTTAAATATGCTCTTCACTTAGCTGCTATAAATTATTATAAGCACATAATGAACACTTAAGTGGGTGACATTTTGGTATTTTGACATTTGTACTTAGCTCTCCTATTGCTTGTAAATGTTGCCATGATTAACAGTCTCTATTCTATTCAATCCTTTGCTGCCCAAAGTGATACTTGGTAAGTAGTTCAGTCCTCCCCAATGTACTTATAAAAACTTACAATCATAATTATAAGTGATTATGAGACACAAAACAAGTGAGTGGCTCGAGGGTAGTTTAAAACTAATTCTGCCTTGAGCTGAACACCCAATTTACTAGTAGAATGCAGTTTTATAAAAATGTCTGCTACAGAGATTTTTGTTCTGGAAGAAAATCTTGCACTAGCCCCCAGTGGCTTTACCTTGTGGAGCTATTTCTTTCTTATAAGAGTAAATACATGTAAACTTCTCAATGGGACCTATTTTTTAGATAAGGTGACTTGCCATTTGTCTATGGAGGAAATAGGAACTTTAGTCCCTTTGAAAGCCACTATTTACTCCCAAGTTTAGCCATTCTGTGTCCCAAGTTGAACATTTTTATGATGAACCTTAAACATGAAGCCATTCACTAATAAACTACAACTTTCAACTTTACAATGTCCACATTTAATAAAGTAAATTTACCAGGCTAGTTAAAAAGCATTGCAAATCTACTTGTTTTCTCCTTGCCTAGAGAGAAAGCAAGATGAGAACTTTAAAAAAAAAAAAAAAAAAAAAAAAAAAAAATATTGATCTAGTTTCTTTTGTTTTCAACTTTGCCAAAGCTACAGTGTAAGATATTTCGTTATTTCATTCTGTTTACTGTTTTAAAATCTGATATTCCTGACTTCTGAAAATTCACAGAAGACATTTGCATAAAATTAGCATCCTTCTTGTAAAGTGAAAGTGTTCTGTTCAAGGCAAACTAGCTCTGATTCCCTAAGATAAAAATTAAACCATTACAAGTTTGGCTCTTGTTCAAGCGAACACAAGTAGACTCTGTAGGCTAGAATTAATTTTTCATCTTCAAATAATTCTACTCAAATATAGAATTATAATGAAATAAAAATGTCTTCTGACTCAAAATGATGCCCTGCCTCCTCCCCTACCTTTTGAACTGTCAATCTCATCTCATTTTACCAAGTATTGTCTTACAATAAACCTAAAATCAGATTAAAAACTGCTTGGAGATGAGATAGGGAATGTAGCACTTTCATTTTACCTGAACTAAGACATTAGCGATGGTGAAACAATGACAGGATGAAATGAAAAATCAGACAGAGATGACAGACCTCAGGAGTTGGTGTTTAGGGACATGGACAATTTTGAGGAATGTTGAAACTATTTTTTTTTTCTCCCACCATATGAAAAAAAAAAAAATGAAGTTTATGGGATGCCTTGCACCAGGTGCCCTCCATATGGCTCGGCCAGGTAACAAAAAGTCAGTACATACTTGTGGTGCTTACTTGCATCTTCACTTACGGTAAAGAGCAGATAAAGCACAAGATGACTTTGTTAGCCTGGTCCTTCCAGACTGGGCATGCTGGGAGAGCACCATTTTCACGGGGAATTCGGGAGGAAGTTTCCAGAGCTTTGGAAATCCTCTTCTTTGCACAAGGATGCACATTCTGATCAGTATCATGTTTTCAGAGCTTCTCCCTTTAGAAGGCAGTAAATATAAGGCTGCCTCAAAACCTTGCTCCCTTCGAGAGTATAGCTCAATGAAATGCAAGGCTCAGAGCTCACACATAGACATTCCTATGGTGTCCAGAGACCGGCCTCACAATATTTACTTGAGATTCTATATTTGCAAAGAAATGTAACTTTCAAACATCTAAAGAATTTCATTAGAAAATGGTTACAATAGAACTCTGCTCTTCCCACCACCACCCCCAACCACCCCACCTCCAGGGATGGTGTGGTGGGTAGTTTTTAACCTGCGACTTATACTTGCTTTAACTTTTCATCCTCATGTATTTTGTTTTAGGCCACCCAGACCTGTAACCAGCATGAATGACACCCTGTTCTCCCACTCTGTCCCCTCCTCAGGAAGTCCTTTCGTCACCAGGAGGTAAGTTCCAGTCCTAGGACATAACAAGCCCTCTCTTTGGTAATGAGCCTTGATTCTGTGGCAAGAAAAATATTCTAGTGCAAGCCAAGAGTGGAAGACTCTAGTTATGTAAATTTCTGCCACATGGCTCCCTGTTTCATTCATTTGAATGCATTGAAAGAGGAATGGGATAGCTCTTGTGGTTAAAGTCGTCTAGAAACGTACATTTACAGTGCACCCATGGTAAATGCAGAAGTTCACATTTTACTATTGACATGCATGCATTCTTTTTCATTGAGAAAGTCACTTTCATAGCACTTAGAAAGGTCCATTTCAGCCAGGAAACTGGGGGACTATCTCCTAATTTAAAGCTCCAGATATAAAAGAACCCTCTTCTTGGTGAGCTCTGAAGTCTCTGAGGCGAGAGGCCGAAGACCAAACTTGGCAATGTAGTTTCCACACAATAATGTCATGGATTATTGGACTTAAACCAAAGATGGATATGTGTCATCTTCTTTAACAAGATCCACTTCCGTTGTGAGCAAAGGGCAGGTGAATCCAGTACTTTGTTTAGGGCCAGTGTTACAAATACACAGGGGCCAAGAGGTGCTCTGAGACATTTGATCAGAGATCACAAATAAAGCACCGGAGAATTTTCGTAGAAATACCTGGGGAAAGCCCACGGGAAAGCAGAAACAAAGGTAAGGGTAATTGGAGCTATTTGTAAGATTTTGCAAATGCTTTTCAATAGGAAAAAAATACAGTCTCATATTTTACAAAAACACATAATCAGTCTTTTCCCTAAAGAGGTGGCTGAGATGCCAGTTGTACTGTAATATCCTGGTACATTCTAGTGAGGACGTGAACACAATGAGACTCAGGACACCGCTGGTTATGTTTCCTGTGCTCCTGTGCTTGTTCATCAGCACGAACCTGAGATGAAGATGTCCCCCATAACTGTAACAAGCAGAACAGACAGAGCATGGCAGGTCACGGGCTTTCTTTCCTGTAAATTATGGGTGTCTGTAAAAAGTGGCATTGAGAACACAATTGAACCACAGAACCTCCACAGTGAAGTCATAGGCCCTCAGAGTGTGCCTCTTAGCTCACTCCTTTTCAGAACCACCAGAAATTCAACCATCGTTTCTAAGACAAAATCATAAACTGTGAAGTCTCTCAGAGACTCGGGCCTGTGCATCTCTCTAGAGAAGAGCCTGCATGTGTTGAGAAAGATGTTGTGCATTTATTAGGAATCTCTGCGTTCTGCAAATGTCAGGCAGAGTACGACTCCATCCTTACTGAAGGTCATTTTATATCATTTCAGCTTGGACGGTGCTTATGGTGGATGCGTCTAGATGGATAACATGGCTTCTTCTACTCTAAAATTTCCCTATAACATTTTGAGCTGTTCTGGTTCCTCCAGGGTGCATGGTACCTATTAACCCAAAACACGATCATTTCCCTTTTCTCCCATTTTCAGTCCTTTTGGAATGCCCCCTGTGAACCACAGACACATTGTTGAGAGTTTGCACTTCTTCCTGTCACCAAGGAGTTTGGCCCCTGGTGTCTGATTTAAGGTGCTGTTCAATAAAGCTGTGTACACTGAACTTCCTTCCTCTCTGAGTGGGCTTCGCTCTGTCCAGGGGAGGTATTAATGAGGTCTCGTTGTCTGACTCCCTCAGGTCACCTGAGGGGCTAAGTGCAACCAGCCTTGTGGCTGAGGAGCATTCGCTGATAAGGTTGTATGTCAATCAGCTTGGGCACTGTGTACGGTCAGTATCCTGCCCCCCAATCACTAATCATAGTGATGGATCCATAGCTAGACTGCTGGTCACTCTCCTCCATCACTAAATCCTCTTGTCGTACATCTCAGTGGAGATAGGGGTCTTCTGGGGGTTCAAGAGAGTCCATTGAGAATTTCCAACTGGAGCTGGACTTCTCAGCTCTTTCCTCTCTTTTCCACTTATTTTATTGATCTCGTGGCCTCAAACCAGTATAGATTATATACTCATCTGTGAAGAGTACCCCGAGGATTTTCTTCTCTGTCTGACTCTGCTGTTGCCCAAGACCCCAGATGGTGATTTCTTAGACTTTTAATGAAAGTGCCCATTGGAATGATCATTAGCACTAACTTGGTCAGGCCAGACAATGCCACAAGGCTGTACCATAGTGTAATAAAAGATTTGAGGACATACCCTTCTGTTCAACTGGGCCTTTTTTTCCCTAAAGAGAGCAGTCTAATTCTTATTGAAGAAGAATTTAAAAACCAAGTTCATAGTATCAGTGCTTCATTTCTATCACTGATCATGCTAGTGGTGATCCACTATTTAACTTCTTAACCATGTCTACACCCAAAATTGATAGAAATCCACAAAGCCAAGTGTAGGCATAAGTTAAAGGTCCTATTTTTCCTAAGGTTGGAATAGAACCAAATAAATGTAACCTAGGACCCTACTCTCACTCCTATTCCACCCCAACTTCCCCTCTTAAAATCAGATTAAAACCTAAACAAGCCAAGAACGTACTGATCCATGTTAAGAAAGTAGGGAAGTTTGCCATGCAGATATTTTATTTAGCCTGGGTTTTCAGTCTTCTGTGACAGATCTTAGAAAGATAAAGCAGAATGAGGATGAATTTAAATCACCACTTCAGAATTCTAGCCAGAAACTCCTGGCATTGCTCAACCTGGAGTCCTTTACAAGCATCCCCCTTTGATCTTCAAAGGGCACTAGGGTGTATCTTTGAAGTCTTGACATCCGGGTGATCTGACTCACACAGATTTATGAGTGTATAACTGGCTACCACTGCCATCTGCTGTATCCTCTTTTCTTATATCCACTTCCAGTTATATCCTTGATTCACTTTTCCCTTAAACAAAAAGAGGGAATCTCAAAGGCACTCTCCTTAACCCTTTGAAGTCTGTGTGTGTGTGTGTGTGTGTGTGTGTGTGTGTGTCCCTACAGGCGCGCGTGCAATGCTGGTTAGCAATTAGGTAGAATATGGTTCAAAAAACATAATTCACCTCATTCATTTCATTGATTATAACTTTATCCCTAAACCTAGATTATTTTTTATAAATGCATTAATTTATAGAAAAAAATGGCTGGATCAATGGAAATCTATCATCACTACTAGAAAAGGGGCAGCAACATTATATAAGCTTATGAAATATATCTCATCACTGTTGCAAATATTATTGCAAGCCCTGACCCAAAGCCAGGCCCAAAAGGCCCTTTTCTCCCTTCGCTGCCCACAGCATGGTGCCTCTGAACACTTGCCATCTTTGTTGGTATCATGCCCCCTTTGTAAAATCTTAATTATCCAGCCAGAATTCTTGCCTGGGGGATGTGAGAAACTTACCTAGCATTTTTCTGTAAAATACATGTATTAAATTATGGCTGTCTTTTTTATGAGCCACAATATGAAACTCTGAATGTTTAAATAGCTAGATTCTTCTACCCTCGGTATCATAAACATCATATAAAGCTTTTACAAATGTTTCTATAGATGCAACCTCTATAACAGAAGCCACTCAGAAAAGGAATCACATTGGCTATGATCTATAGCTCTAGCCAGATCTTATCATTCCTCATTCCTCCAAATGTTAGAAAATTGCTTGAGTCATGGTATGCATTGAACCCAATCAGATATGCTGTTTTCTGCTTTGTCACAATAGCATTTGGTTAGTTACTTAATATTGCGTGAGGCTCAGTAGTGCAGACGGGGAAGGCACATCCCCCCCCCCCCCCCAAGTGCTTCCCAAACCCTGATTCTTCCCAGTGGGCAGCCTTTGTGAGTTATTTCTGTTGGTTGATTGGTTGGCCAGTTGGTTGATTGGTTTATGTGTTCAACCAAAGAAAGGTTAATTAGTATTGCTTCTTCAGTTTTTTTCAAACACTTTGCTTAACCAAGGATTCTTTACCTAACAACCCAGATTATTAACCTAACTAAAAATGTTCAAACTAAATTTTAAGCATTTATGCTTTGGTAATCAAAAGTGAATAGAAATAAAATTGAGGTACTGAATTCAGCCTTTGATCTAAAAATTAAAGTTTTCTTCAGGGTTGTTTTTTTTTTATTCCTAAAATTAAAGCTCATCCTTTTCAGTAAGAAAAAAATAAATAAATTTATAAATCAACATCATATAACAGATGAACTTATACATTAACTGACCTGAGAATTTCTTTACTCTTTTCACACTTTCTGGGCATTTTTTCTGAAATTTTATGAAATTTGAAAAAAAAATCATAAATCACTCTCTGCTGATATCTCTTTCTTTTATGTAGCCCCAGTGCTCCACTAGACTTTTCAAACTTGAAATAGGCCAGTCTTCCCATTCAGTTCTCTTTCCTGTGCTAAAATGTTAGTGAATAATTAAAACTTGTCATCTCTCTTCTTCACTTCAACAACTTTTATTATCTTAGTAAAGTTTCTTTCATTGTTGCTTGTATATACCCTATACCCAGCCAACTTTTAGAGACTCTTGGTAAAAATACAGTTGATACGCTTTGATGCTGTCTGAGAGAAAACATAGTGAACGTAGTGAATCCAATGTAAGCCAAGAATTCTTAACGTTTCTTCCATCATAGCTGCTTAGGATGGCTTGACTTTCATGCCAGCTTGATGACAATCACCCCATTGGACACTAAATTATTTTCATGCTTGTTTTCTGATGTACTTGAGACAGATGCTTTATATTTCAGATCAAAGATGTTGAAAGCAAGAACAGGAAATGGGAACACAATTTTTCAAGAAATTAGCTCCTGGCAGAACTGACTTGTGGTCTCTTTTGTATTCTACCTAAATTATGTAGATTGCAGTAAGAAGCAAAATTTTATTCACACTGATAGTTACTTAAGGAGGGAGCCATCTTTATAAGCTATTCTTCACAAGTTCAAAAACACCACCCAAGTTTATCAGTTATTGGAAATCAATAAAAATGAAAATAGCTCAATATCAGTTTCCTGTTGACCACTGTGATCATGATTGTTGCACACAATATAATTTATTTCTATAATGCTGCTGTTCTGTGAGACTGCATGCAGGACTTCCATTTAAATTATTTTATTTTCACACTCAATAAGAGAAAAAAATCTTTGACCAGCACTAAAATAGTAAGCCAACATAAGCAGAGGTGGTTCTTAAAAAATATGTTTCAGGTTTAAACAAAAGCCCAGGGAGCTTTGTGTGTAGTTCTGTTATCTAGAACCCCCCAAAATGTTTACACTTGAGCAAAACTACTTGTGTCAGTTGTCACCCTTCAAATGTAAAGGGTGAATTTAAGTAAATAGATGAATAAATATGAAATATTTTACATGTGATAAACATTAATATTTTAAGAAAAACTATCTTAAGTATATTAATACATGCAATAAACATTAATGTCTCAAGAAAAGGATTTTAAATATGTTACGTTATACACCAATTATTCAAGAAAAATTATGTTAAATATAATAATATTATATGCAATAAATATTGATATTTCAAGAAAAAAAGGATTATAAGTATAATAATATTACCAAAACTGTACTAACATAGTATAGTATCACAAAAGTTGTAGAAAATATTAAAATTCTGCAAATAACAAGATTACATCTATTTTAAATACTTTTAAGTTGCTTCATTCTTCTAAAACCAGTGTGTGTGCACGGGGAAAGGAGAAGGGGAGAGGGGGAAAAGCATTTATCTTTATATATACTATTTTCCAAAGGTCTAAAAAGGAATTGGTGAGAAAATAGAGAATATTTTATAAAGAACATGTAGTCTAAAGGAAAACTTCTTCCTCCTTTTCTTTAGCTGAACACGTAAACTTCAAAACGTACCTTCTCACACCCTCCAGGGTATGATTGTCACCCACTCATTACTGATAACATGTGTGCAAAGGCGTGTGCCTATACGTTGGCAAGGGCCTGGTGAAAAGAAAGTGACCACAATAAGAAAATACATACAATTTTAGCGATAATAGGCTTGCTTCTCCTTGGAACTCAGATTAGAAAAGATTTCCTGCCCGTTCCCAGTTCAGAGCTTAAGAGGAAGAACGCATTTAGATTTGAAGACGGGACTGTAGGAGACAGAAGCTTTTGGAACTAGATTGATGTGAAAGCCATTGCTGCATTCTGACGCACTGAAGTGGCGGAAGTGTTCAATTCTTGGTAAGAACATAGCTCCTGTGTTTGATCCCAAGATGAGATGGACATACCCCCTCACTTCTCCAAGCAAACTGCCAAGCTACAAAAGGAAAGTTTAAAAATCCAAAGTATTCTGTACAATATCGTGAGCATCCATTGCTTTGAAGAGATCATAATAAATCACACATTGTCACTATTCTCACAGTGCGGGAGGAAAATTTGTCACGTTGCTCTTTCTTCAAACACCTTAGGAGCTGCAAAAGAAACTCTGGTGAAGGCACTTCATGTGAAGTCTTTATAGGCCCAGGTTTTATGTGAAACCTGCTTCCCCATCAACTCTCTAAGTTCCTGATCTATTTCATTTTAAGAGAGTATTTGGCTTTGGTTTTGATTTGTTTTATTCATGCGCTTGACTTCCTCTCTATTTGGTCATAATTTTGGCTTCCCAGAAATAAGTCATTAGGAGCAGAATTTAAGGCTAGTTTTTGGAAATATAGAAACTCTGTGGACAGTGAGTACCAAAACTCAGAAGTACTCCTGGCATTAAGAGCTATAGCAAAACAAAATAAATTCTTTCTTTCCACAAACTCATAAATACCAATAGTGTCATCCCCATATTTTCTAAGAACTGATTCCAAAAATTCATGTGGGAAGGAAAAGGAGCATGAAAGGACTTAAACCAATCCTGGCATGGGCCAATGCAAAGAAAATGACACACACACAAAAAAAAGGAGAGAGATGTGTATACAGAGAATATCCGCTCATCCCCTTGAGGGAGGAAGGAACTTGGAAAGAAGAAGAAAAAGAAAAGGAGAGGTAGAGGAAGGAGAGAAGAGTTAAAAGAAAAGAAAGAATAAGGCCACCAACAGAAATCTGGCCTACTGCTCCCTTCCTGGCCCTGGCCCTACACATACTGATGTCAGCAAGGCTCCTCCAGAGCTAATGTTGGTGTCACGTGATGGGACAGGATTTATGGACACATCACTTTCCCCCCATAAAATTCACCAGGCCGTTTGTAGCAAACACATCCCCTGACAGACCCTCCTATATTTCTTTTCTCCTCTGGTCCTTTCTTTCTTCTTGTGCATTCAATATTAGAAGTTGTACCCATGGAGTTGTAATTCAGCTTTTGATTTAGCAAATATCCCCACAATTTCTGGGCATCGAGGGACAGAAAAGCATAACAAGACAGGGAAATCATTAATTTACCACAGTGTTTTGAGTGGTTTTGCAAGAATCTGGGGTAAATCATATAGTAGGTACAATATATAACTGAGTTACAAAAAAGAAAGTTGGAGGATGTACTTGGGCAGCAGGGAGACGGTAGTTACTGGATAATGAACATAAAGGGATATGCTTCAGGAGACCAGGCTTAGGGTGCTGTTTTGGTGGGATGATGGGAAAAATATCAGCTACAATGGCTTAAAGTGGCTGTTTGGCCCTGACTGGCAGGTTTCATAGTCTTAAAAAGTGGAGATTAGTATGCTAAAAAAAAAAATGTAAGTTCATCAGGAAGATAAATTCTCCTAGAACATTAATCATTTCCTTTTTAAAGTCAATTTTGTGTGCACTTGTACTTTGTGTAATACTTTGTGTTAATAATCGGGGATTTCTGAAACCCTCTATGTGGTGCTTCAAGTACAAAGCACTTCTAATAAGACTGCAATCTCTCGGTAATTTTCAACATTCTATTCAACTCAGAAAGTTGGAGAATATCGAGAAGGCCGCAGAAATAAACTCCTTGACTGAAATATAAAGGATGGCAGGAGGCAGGGGACCATTGGGCTGTTTACAGGATTATCCGTAATGAATGCTGAATGAATTTCCATTCTGTCCAGGCATAATGCAATCCATTTGTTAAGCAACGGGCAGAGAGGTCAAATCTGGGATCCTGGTGGTTTGTGCAATTGTAATAATGGTTGTCAGGCCAGGTTTCTACTCCTCATTCAAGTCAGTGGAGAGGGGAAACATCTTGAACATTTCAAAATAATAAAGAGAGCTGTCCAAACGGAGCTTGGCTGTAGACTTGGGCGTTTCTGTCGCCAGTTCTATTCTTGAATGCAATGCCGTGTTTACGCTCTTCTTGGCTTTCCCGTCTTATTAACTAGCTCTCCTCCCAAGGACAGTGAAGTAGAGCAGAACAAACTGCTGGCTAGGGCTGCTCCGGCTTTTCTGAAGGGCAAAGGGTAAGTTAAAGCCCGAGTGTACTGGAATCTGGAATTAACTGCATGGAAAATGGCGATTTCTTTTGTCGACATGCTTTGTGTTTGGAAGACCATCTTTGATTTAGTAAAAGCAGCTCCATTATAACTCCATTAACAGCATCAAGCAGTGATATTTAGTAGGAACATCTGTGTTGTTACTCACTTTCCCTGATTTCCTTTTCTTTTCTTAAATGACTAAGCTTCAGGTTTGATTTTCCGAAGGCTACTTAATCTTTGCTTGCAGCGCGCTTACCGTTCAGTTGAATTTCTTGGCCTTGATGGTTTGAAGATTGCAAATCTGTTTTCTGGAAGCCTGTATTTTTCAAGTTTGGTGAGATGCAATTGTGAATTTCATTGCTTGGATTTTGTTGTGTCTCGCATCCAACAGCACTTATTTTTTCCTTTACTTGGTTGGTTTTCCCAATGCCTTTTTCCCCACCCGCACGCACTAACGCACTCCTACCTGCTCTACCTCTTTCTGCCCGCCTCCCCTAACACACCCTCTCTCCTCCTCCCTGTTTCAGGATCCAATACAGCCTGAATGTGGCAGACAGGCTAGCTGATGAACATGTGCTCATCGGGTTGTATGTCAACATGCTTCGGAGCAACCCTTCATGGTTAGTGCAGCCTTGGCTGCTTGGCCGACCATAAAGAGGAACATGGTCCCTTCTCTTGACCAGCAGTCTCAGCAGGGGGCAAAGCCACTGATGCCAGAGATATCCCTCAGGCACTTTTTAACGGATTCCATTCCAATGTCTTCTTTGATGTAATTTTGGATATTTCCCATTAATATGCCGTAGAATTATATTTTAGCCGAAGGTATAACGTGTACACATGGCGCCATGCTAAGGATCAGCATCCAGGTGGGTGCAGAGGTCTGGGTCCCACAGTCAGTTCTGTGTTACAAGGGCAATGTCAGAACCACACAAGGGTGATGCAGGAATCCGTCTTATTGCAAGGACAGGTTTGTCTCTGCTTTTTTACAGGTTTGTAAAAAAGAGGAAGTTATGGAATGGGGTCTGACCCTGGAAATCATTTCCTTAACAGTGATTGTTTTTCAACTTTTCTCTGACTCGCAAATGTTTCTGGGTAGCCATCAGATAAAGCCTGCTTTCGAGTCCCTGACTATGCCAAGCTCACTTTCAGACGTGAGACATGTATGGATTCAGGTAGCTCTACATATTGGGATAAAGACATTTGTAAAGCTTTTCTCTTTCTATTTTTATTGTGACATAAGAGATTCCTCCCTTTGATTAGTTACTTTGTCTTAATAATAATTGCACATTTTTTATTTTAATGAAAATATATGAAAAACTATATAAGTATCATATATTTCAGGTTGGTTTAGACTATTATTTTACAAGCATGTTTAGCAAACCAGTTCCTTTTAACTACTATGTCTCAGAAAGCATGCCACAAACACTTGATGCTCATCACATCACCACTCAGTGTTATTAGCCACTTTGTTTCTAGAACATTCTTCCCTTGACTATTTCCAAAGTTCCTTTCTATTCCTGAATCATTTTTTGTATAATTAATACATGAAATAATTTTAGGTGATTCATTGATGGGCCTTTAATGGTTATATATTTATCTTAATTTGTATTTTTTTTAATATGACCGGCATATTAGTTTAATTTTACTCTTTTAGGAAATAAAAATGGGCTCTCCTGCTAAGCCCATCTCTTTGTTCAAATTTTTTCCCCAGCTTGTAGAGCAAACAGTTTCTCCTCTTCCTCACATCTCAGCCTCTCAGAACTATAGGAGGAAAGAGTGATTGCTTGAATCTTATTCCCAATGAGTTTGGTTCCGCCATGCCATATGGTGGCTGAAGGAATGAAACTAAAAATACAGATTTACAAAAGGAAACAAATTGTGTGAGTGATCTTTAAAGAGGAATGCAGTCGATACAGATTTAACCATGTCTGAAGGCGATGGTGTGATCTCACACGGCATCCTCTCCCATGGTGCTGAGGACACTGGCTCTTTCTATTACTTTTCTTTGACCTTCGCTTAATTAAAGTTGTAACAGAGCCGTCTTCGAGAGGGGAGCTCAGAGCATTACCAGCGGCCTCTTCCCTGCTCAGGTGATTAATCACAGCGGCTTGATGGCCACTTAAGACACTTAAGACCACATGTGTCAAACACAAGGCCCGCGGGCCAAATCCGTCCCGCCAGGCCTTGCAATGTGGCCCGCACCGCGCTGTCATCACTGCACTCCACTGCGTTTCCATCACAATGACAGTTTATGACTGTTCAGTAAACCATTCGGCCCGCGATTTAGGCTGGATTTTAGATTTTGGCCCCTTCTCTGATTGAATTTGACACCCCTACTTAAGACGGTAAAACTGTCACAGCAGAGACACCATGCATCCCCTTTAGGAAGATGGATCCATGAAACCACCTCCATTTTAATGGCTGCTGCCCCCATACTTCTCAGCGCTTTCTTTCTGGCCTTAAAAAAATTCCAACTTATCTTTTGGATTTTTCATTTTTCCTTCTGTTTCCTTTCTGTTTAGTTAGATCCTAACAATTCCCCACACCGTCCATGATTATATGAGTACTGTAACGATCGCTCACCTCCTTTGTCATCCTCATAGCTATAATTTTTACCATCATTCAACTATGGTGAGCTACATAATGGTAATAATCAAAGAGCTGCCGTTTTTTTTAAATCCCTACCTCAGACTAAGCACTGTTGAAAGCTTTACTTATGTGCTATTGCATAAATGACATAATCATACACAAAATACATATTAATACACTATTCTTTACATAATTTGTAGTTCTATAAATTATTTACATAATTTATAATTACATACGTTAATCACATAATTATTTGCATAATTTCCCCTAGCCCTTAAAGCAAGCCTATAGAGGAAATGCTATTATCCCCCTTTTATACAGAAGTAACAGTAGCAATTACGAGTGTTACAGGACTCTCCAGTCACATGGCCACTAAACAGTGAGTGAAGCAGGAAGTTTGATCATTAGCCACTTTAGTCCAAATTCATAAACACTAGGCTTCATTGCCTCTTATGAAACCTACATCTATGTATGCCCTCCAGAAAGTTTTTCTGGACAGTCCTCCACCCTGCATCCACACACATCTATTTCCTAAAATTGCAAATCCCACTGTATTACTTGATTGTGCTTTCACAGACACTTGGAGCACACCGTGATAACAAGAATGGTAGTTGTTAGAGTGGATGTATCTAGTTTTCTGCCTTGTGATTGCTCATTTTGATCATAAGCTTCAAAAGGGCAAGAGCTCTGTCTTCAGTCTCTTGTATCTATCTCACCACAGCCCCTGAACATGAGTAAATTGTACATTTATGAAGAGCTTCAAAAATTACAGAGCCCTTACCCACACATGGTTTGGTTTGCTTGTCAAGTCCTTTCAGTGTAGACCTTATCATTGCCATTTCACTGATAAGAAAATGTAAGCTCCGAGACATGAAGTGACTTATCCACGGTCATGTGCTAGCAAGGGCTTGCACACCGGGCTGACACAAGATCCCTTCTATGTTCCCATCGTGCCTCAGCCTCCCTATTTGTGCATTTTTCATGAGATGGTCTACACATAGGAATTTTATAGCTGTTCTTGGTTAAATGATCTGTTTCCATAATTAATCATATATGCTCCTGATTAACTATGTGGGGTCATTTAAAAAAATAAGTACTGCTTAACACCATGAGAAATGGACTCATTTGTAAATAGTCTGCTGCTAAGTGCAAGAAGCACTTCTGTTGTCAGGGTTGGTCATGCTGTCAGAGAGGCCAAGTAAACTGTAGCTTCAGGGAGAAGTCTGCCATCTTCCTAATTCAGTGACATTTTAAAAGCCTTCGTGTTTTCAAGCACCTTCTCCAAATGGGGAGGAGAGGCCTCAGAATATACACTGAGGGCTTTTCTACTCTTCCCTATAGCTCACATGTATCAAACACAAGGCCCGCGGGCCAAATCCGTCCCACCAGGCCTTGCAATGTGGCCCGCACCGCGCTGTCATCACTGCACTCCGCTGCGTTTCCATCACAATGACAGTTTATGACTGTTCAGTAAACCATTCGGCCCGCGATTTAGGCTGGATTTTAGATTTTGGCCCCTTCTCTGATTGAGTTCGACACCCCTACTATAGCTCATCGAGTGCCTGGGCTTAGAACGGTTCAGAAGGACTGACCATGAAAGGCAGCCCAAAGGATCCAAAACCAGCCCAGAACTTCCAACTCTTACCATAATTATATCCTTCCTACTGAAAAGCTTCTGGTATAGTTCTCTCTGCAAAGGTCCCCTGTGAATGAGAGGAAGGGGTACAGCCTATACTTTGATGTCAAGATCAATTGTTGTCACTCGGTTAGACCCCTGATCTCACCTAACCAGGGTAAAATTTGTTCTGCATGTGTATTTTCTCTCAAGAACAAGAAATTGTGCATTTAATGCCCTAGGTCCAGGGTACATATCTGAGGTCCAAATTTTTCTGTGCTTGCCTGCTTGAAACCCTTGAATAGATTCATCTTGAACTCAGTTTACACCTCAGACCCCTCGCTTCAGCTTAAGAAGCCTGTGTGGGACTAGCTCATGCCTACCAGCCTCTCATCCTCAACTGCCAAGGGGTCTTCCACTCAGTCATAATACTTAGTCACATCAGCTTTTGATTGATTCCTCAAAACTATTCCTAAAACTGCCCCAAGATCAGGATGCTCGATCTTTCCTATGCCTAGAACATCCGGCCCCATTTTGCCTGCCCTCTCCTTCCTCACACACACATGCACAAGCTCCTGCTCAGGCTTCCAATCTCAGATTGAAGTCACCTCCTCAGGTGGGTTGCCTATATTAGTCTCTATCATGGCATGCTATTTATTTCATTCTCACTAGAACTGCAACCATTGGTCGGTTGGTTGGTTGGTTGGTTGGTTGGTTGGTAGTTGATTTACTCTCTATTTTCCCCTGAGGGTGCAGGGCCTTCTCTGACTTACCCACCATCATGTCTCTGACATTTTACGCAGTGCCTGGCACATAGTAGGTGGCCAATAAACATCTGTTGATGCTGTAGAATATCCATAGTGCTATAGTACAAAATCCCTCTCACCCTAAGCAAAATTGTTGGGAGTCCTCAGAGAAATCTTTTTTACTATTTGAAGCATCACCAATTATAAATTAGCCCTTAAACATTTAATGTAAGAGTAAAAAATATTAAGCTTGATGTAGAGAGAGGTGGTAAATGTGGATAAAGACAAACACCAGCAATTCATTGGTATGAGAAAAGCAAGTGATGGGAGCAAAATTAAAAAACTGAAAGTTTCGTATTAGTTTTCTAGGGCTACTATAACAAAATACCAGCAGCTGTGTGACTTGAACAACAGAAATTTGTTTTCTGGAGGCTGGACATCCAAGACCAAAGTGCTGGCAAAGTTGATTTCTCCTGAGGTTTCTCTCCTTGGCCTGCAGATGGCTGCTTTCTTCTTTATGTGGCCTTTCACATCTTCTTTTCTCTGTGCTTATATATTCCTAATTCCCTTCCTCTTCTGATAAGAACAACAGTCATATATTCAATAGAGCCCCACCCTGAGAACCTCATTTAATCACTTTTTTAAAAGCCCTAAATACAGTCACATTGTA